TGCAAATGTTTATGGAACATTTGTTATGGCCAGTCACTGTCCTAGGCATGCTTACATGTGTGTCCCATTTAATCCTCACAGCAGCCCTGAGAAGAGTAACTGTCCCAGTTCTACAAATCTGAGTGCATTTATTTATTTATTTATTTATTTATTTTGGTGCCAGGTACCAAACTCAGGACCGTGCCAGGCAGGCGCTGTGCCACTGAGCTATATCCGTCAACACCAATTTTACAAATCTGAAGCTCAGAATGATCTCTTCCTAGAAAAATATCTGAAAAGTACCTCTTCAAAAACAGTGAACATTGGTCAATTCTGCATGTTTTGGAATGAAAGGAGTTTTCGTCAATGTTTAAGTTCAATGTGAAAACTGTCACTTTCATTAGAAAGTAAAATTTTATGCAATACTAGACAAACATACAGAAACCTTGGCCAATATCATAAACCAAGCTCTGATAGTTATAATTCCATGTCTTCTAACTTCTTTTGTTATCACATTCTTTTGTTAAATGGTAATCAATTGAGAAGGAAGAGAAAACATCAGAAAAGAGTTTCCATCTGGTCAAGTTCCAACTGTGATCATAACCCTAGGGCACATGCCTTCCTATCCTATTTCAGGATGCTTCCTCCTGGTATCAGATGTGCACCAAGACTACCAAGCCCCAGCGCTGTTCTTGCCATGTTCAGTAAACTAAATGCTCTGACATTCTGACAGTGCATTTGAGTATATGAACAAATTTGAGCAGTCATAAAAATGGAACTTTGTCTTGGCCCTGGAGCAGTACATGCTAATATAAATGGCTGTTGTACACATAAAGCAAAAAAAAAAAAAAAAAAAAAAAAGCCATTCATCGCTGCCCTATGGTTTCTAGAAAGGGACAGACACGTGGATGAGGACCCAGATTGTATCCCTTATCATGTTATCCTATAAGCCTGTATTGAGAGGATCAATAGGAGAGAAAAATCAAGTTCTTCTAAGGTCCATGGGGTTGTTAGCCTTTAGGGCTTCCCTCGCTGCTTGGAACTATTTGATGGAAGGCATACCACTAGTGGGTTCTCAGGAGAGAGACAACTAGAATGGGCATTGCTTCTCCCAAGGGAAACACTTAATTCTCTTTCTGCCCTTGATTAAATTTCCTTGAGCCTTGGGCTTGACGGAGAGTAGAGGTAGGATCATAACCACTGAGACCATTCCAATCTTAGCATTTCTTTCTAGGCTCTCTTCAGATGACCTGGCATATTCTTATTTTCTATCTTACTGAGGAAAGAAATGAACAGTGAGTGTAGGATTCAAGGCCACCATACATTTATCCAACACGTAGTACCTGAAGAACTTCTATTCCTGAGGGTGGGGAAGCTCTGAGTGACCAGATGAATACATATAAACAAGCAGCTATATTTATATTTTAATCCTTTTATTTGTAAAGAACTTTCAAAGTATCAGTCTTGTGCTAAGGTGTGAAGATACAGGCTGAGTAAGAGACAAAGTAGGTTCATTTCTGTGATATATAAATTTTCTATTGGTAACAGATTCCTATCATAGGTAACCTCACAATTGTATAATTTTTCACCACTTCTGATATTCTATACAGTGACCCACCTCAGACTGGAGAGACTGGACATGCTTCCCTTCTGTGCACATTCTGGTGTCTAAGAAGGCTTGACCTTGCACTAAATTTTCTCTTGCACGTGCTACAGCTAAAAGGCTGCTCACCTGTGTGGGTTCTGTGGTGCTCAATAAGGTGATATTTCTGAGTAAAACGTCTTCCACATTCATCACACTTAAAAGGCTTCTCTCCTGTGTGAATTCTTTCATGTGTGTATAGATTCCCACTAGAAACAAAGCTTTTCCCACATGATGAACATGTGTATGGTTTTATTCCTTGATGTGCCATGACGTGCCTCCTAAGATCTGAACTCCGTCCAAACCTCATATCACATTGTTCACATTTATGGGGCTTCTGTTCCTTGTGAAGTCTCTGATGGTTAATAAGGTCAGAGCTAACTCTGAAGCTTCTCTCACATTCCTGACTCTTACCTGGTTTTTCCCCTGTGTCACCTTTCCTGTGATGATCGATAAGTTCTGGAAGCTTTTGTTTACATGTTGAAAGTTTCTTTCCCTTTTTCCTTGGAAATCCCTGACCCTGCTTCTCTAAGCTGCAAGTATCACTATAATTCTCCTTGGCTGATGTTTTCTGGACAACCTTCATTCTGGTCTTGTTTGATGCTTGGCCTTCTGGTGCTGGAATTTCTGATGCTGAAGCTGATTTAGGCTGATCTTCTCTGGTGTCATTTTCGAACTTTAACCCTGTAAACAAAAAGAAGAATCCAATCTGATTCCAATAGCACAAAGCTAAATGAATAGAGAGAAAAACCAATAATGGTTTTGTCTGAGAAAATCACATAAATGTAAGTGTCTCTGATGCTCCCTGCTAGGCACAACAAAAAACCCATTATATAATGAAAGAAATAACCTAAAGAGCATTCTAAAAAGTGGGAAGATGCAAACTAGTTTGGGGACCCAGGGATAGAAGAATAACACAGCAATGTTTTATAACCCAAAAGCCAGCATAAGAAGGTAACTCAGATACAGGGATTCTTACTCTTTTCCCAACCCTGACTTGCAAACCTTAGGACGACATCAAGCAAACCAAAGAGAACTGGCAAAGGGGATCAGCCTGGAATCTATCCACAGTGTGCAGCCATG